TCCACAACGCACTCCCTATTCACATTATCAGGGCACTGAGCCGATCCGTTGACTAGCACAGGGACACCGGTTGTTGCTGCCGTGCATTGCGCGTTGTCTGCATGTTTGATTTGCAGCGCCTGACCGGTACTAGAACGACGAAACGCTCGATTCACACTCGGTATCAAGAACAACATTGTTGGAGGCTATCCCGCCCCCATCCACAGGCCATGAGTAATCTCATCAAAATTGGACTCCGCTCGGCGATTACGTAGTGGAACATCTAACTGACCACCCCCTACGCCCCACCTATGACCATACAACCCGCCTGAACTACCGTTTCGCGATCTATTGTCTATTCGGTCGCCCCGCGCCCCCTTTGACGCGATCCATCGGGGACCTCTACGCATTACCTAAATCACATGCCTTATACGGGAAACACGACTATAACGTATTACGCCGGACGTGATGTTTCTTTTTATAAGTTTAGTTTTGCGCCCGCTCAGAGTTTCGCAATCCTGTTGATAATCGAGCGCCGCTCCTCGATTCCACTTTGTTATTTTATCTCTCGGGTTGTGCCATAGTTTGTCTTAATTGACAGGTCAGTGTCACAACAGTTGTTTCAATCACACGGAAGGTGTGAAAAGCTTCCTGAGGCGGGTGCGATCTGTAAGCCAGAACGCATAAGTCAGCCAGGCCGAGAAGATCGATGGCACACACACGCACACACACACACATAAGAGTTCCATGTTATACGCGGTTCGGTTGCTGATTGGAGCCAGTCAGCGAGTGTCGGTACGCAGAATTTGCCCCTAAATTCGCATATACTCACCCTTCGACGCTTGTAACAACGGAGGATTTGCTCGCACAACAGCTCTCCTTCCCAATACAAGCGAACATGCGAGTCCCAGGAAGTAACTGAGAAGAAGACCACTCGATGGCTGGGGACAATATTTTTATTCGCCTGACGTTCAGAGATCCGTCGCGGATTCGTCATCAGAGACATAGTCAGAGAGCAATAGCAGA